ATACTTGCTTTCAGTTTAATTCAGAAGTATCAGTAAATGCCAGCTGAGTATTTTCTTTACACCAAGGCAGTGATACCATCTAGTAACATAGGGCTGTAGTTGCTCAAGCTCGTGGGCTTGTAGTTGTTTGTTAACCCTTGACATGAGGTCAGTATTGCATTTTGTGAACAAAGCAGTTAGTTACTTAAAATACTGTTTTTCTCTGGTCAGCCTTGGTCTCCATGATGTTTACAATTCCATGACTGCGGCATAAAATACACTTCAGTTGTGAATATACCTTTAAGTGCAAATGTGAACCTTTGGTAAACTTGTCTGCGACTTTATCTCAGATGCATGGGACTTTACTGGATTTCAGTTTTCAGTAGAAGCGGTAGGATCACAGTCTGTACACTGATAAGGAAGCATGTACAAATGTGTTATTTCCTCCTCTTAACTGCGCACATTCTTCTAACTGGCATAATGACAGATTACTGCGAGTGTTAGATTTTGTAGCAAATACTACATATTCAGCACTGTCAATTCCTAATTTATTTATATAGGAAAAAAATAAACATATAGGAGAAAAGTGTACCTTTGTTTTTACCACTGCCAGAACTTTGCAAATATTTACTCTTAAGTTTTATCCTSTGTTAGGATGACAGTCCTGCAGCGGAAGCTCATGCATTGCAGAAGAGTGAGTTGGTGGCCTCGTAACTTTTATCATTTGTGGAAAAAAAAAAAAAATGCTTCTGGTTGACTGTCCTGTTTTCCATCCTCCAGGGCTTGATAAACACAGGAAATTACCAAGCATACTGATGTGGCAGAAGTATGTGCCTGGAAGGGGAGCTATGTGCTACCCTGCTAGTCCTGACTGAACGACCGCGTGCATCCCCAGCCAGTACAGGGGGGGCTGCCTCAGCCTCTAACATTTTCCTGAAGTGAGAAAAGGAAATTAATTTAGATTAATTTAGTTCTTTGAAAAGCGGTCGGCAAGCAATGGGATGGCCTGAATGAGCAGGAGGAAGGATGGCTGTCGGCTCGTGAGGCGCTGTTGTTACCCACGGCATCTTCGGGCTGCAGCGGGCACCCGGTACATGGTCAGCAAAGTGTGTGTGTCTGCGTGTGTCAAGACGCTGTAGCAGAACCATCAAGCTTGCTGAGTGCGGGAGAAAGCTGAACCCTGCAGGGCTTTCTGCTGTGTAGTCCACTAGAAATATATACATAAGAAAAAAAAAAAAAAAAGCCACCATGCATTTTCAGGCAGCTGAAAGTAATGCCCATTCCTCATACTAGTCAGATGCAGCAGCCCTACCTTGGGTTTAACACCCGTGACCAGTGTGGAGCGGTGCTCCTGTTGTCACCGTCAGCCTTCCCCAGCTTTTTGTCCCCTTGCCCAGGCAGTGCTTCTCCAGCTCGCCCCGTCCCGCAGGATGCAGCCCCCCATGGCCTGGGCCCGGGGCGCAGGGCCCATCCGCAGGGCCCATCCACAGGGCCCATCCGCAGGGCCAAACAAAGGTAGGTTCATGGGGGAAAGACAGAAGGCAGCAGAGGGAGCAGAGCAGCAGCCTCCTGGCAGGGCGAGGAGCTCTGGGCAGCCCCAGGGGGGCAGTGGGGAGCCCCATGGGGACAGTGGGGCACCCCACAGTGCCGCTCAGGGCCAGCATTGGCAGGGGCTGTGTGAACTAAAATGGCGCCCCAGACTCACGGCAGAAACCGGCCTCCACTGGTCCTAACGGACCCAGCAGACCCGGCAGAGAGCGGCGGGCGGGCAGCCGCTCCCCTCCAGCCTCACGGAAATAAAAGCACAGAGTCGTAATGGTTGGGAAAGAGCTTGAGGATCACCRAGTCCAACCGCAGACCCATCCCCACCGCGCTAAGCCATGTCCCGAAGCGCCTCCTCTGCACGTTTCCTGAACGCTGCCAGGGACGGGGACTCCACCACTTCCATGGGCGGCCTGTTCCAAGGCTTCCCCACTCTCTCCACGCAGCATTTTCTCCTAATGTCTAACCTGAAGCTGCCCTGGCACAACTTGAGGCCGTTTCCTCCTGTCCCATCAGCAGTTATTCTGGAGAAGAGACCGACCCCGGCCTCACTTCAGCCTCCTCTGGGGTCGTCAGAGCGTGCAGAGCTTTGGGGTCTCTGCCGCAGTGCGACACTGGAGGAGTGGTGGTGGTTTCCCAGGAAAGCATGCAAATTCTTCACTGTGAGGGTGGCAGAGCCCTGGCACAGGCTGCCCAGGGAGGTTGTGGAGGCTCCTTCTCTGGAGATCTTCCAAACCCGCCTGGATGCCGCCCTGTGCCCCGTGCCCTGGGTGTCCCTGCTGGAGCAGGGGGTTGGACTAGATGATTCGTAGAGGTCCCTTCCAACCTCAACCGGTCTGTGATTCTGTGATTTTTGTCCAAGCTTAAGCTAAAGTTTGCGCTGCCTCAAACTAGCAGCACTTGATCGTATCACTTACAGTGAAAGAGTGTCCATTTTTTTTCTGCTTCTCTGCTTATGTTGTGTATGCAAGAGCAGTTGTAGCATTCTTTTCCTTTTTATTTTCCCTCTTGTTTTGCAAGAGGAACACTAGTTCAAACAGAGGATCTTGATGGATCACCTTGATGATTTAGGGCAGAAAACGTTTGCAGTACTGGCCATCTAAATAACCTGCATGTAAGCTTACACACTGAGATTTACTTTTGAAGTTTCATATGCTGTATACTACAAATTGCAAAACACCCCCATCTTTGACTAAAATCTAAGTGCAATTCTAGTCTCTTTCTTGAGGTAGCTTGCCATGTCTTTGATTTACCTCTTTAATCTAGCATCTTGCTTTGATGTGCGGTAGAGGGTAGGTCTTTTCAGCTGGAGTGCCATGTACCTGTGGTGAACAGCAAAATCTCTAATGAATCTAGTCTTTCCAATGAATGGGGCTCACTGAGATCAAACAGAGGGTAGGAAAGGCCACTCTCTACTCCTCTCTCCTATTGGAAATTCAAAGGAGGACAAAATTAACATGTCTCTAAAAAGACAGTTGGGCCAGTTGGGCCAGCAGATTTTAGAAGAAACTGAAGTTACGGCTATCAAAACACATAAGTATTTCAAAGTCTAAAGCCCAAACACCTTCAGGAGGCCCAGACTTCAGCGCCTAACAGCATTGCCCTTTGCTGGGGCAAGTGAGGGCCTAGTGATTCCTGGCAGTGATCTACAAACTWACCAAAATCTTTGAAGTAAAGGTGTGCTAAAATGATGCAAGCTGCTCAAGTTACAGCTGAGGGCAAGCATGATGTGTGGGTCTGAGTCCCCAAACCACACATCTGGGAACCAGCTTGCCCTACAGGCTGCTCTGGCATTCCCTACTTGCAAGCAGCAAATAAAGCATTCAGGTATAAACTCAACTGGACTTGATTTTTTTTTTCTCACACCCTTTGCCTAACTCTTAACATGTTGTCCGTGCTACAAGTTCCTAGCCAAGCCATTTTGAGCAGAGATGTGCGAATGAAGGTGGGCAGGCAGACCTGGTGGCCCCCTGAGGCTGATGGTGCCCCTTTCCCAGGTCTCTAGCACAAGTTTTTAGCCACCCTTCCTCAGGCTGAGTGCCATTAACCTCACAGTCCTTTTTCAGTCTTGAATATGTAGATAAAAGCATTGGCAAGGCCAGTTAAGACTGATGAACAGGATGGACAGCTGGGGGCAGGAACCACTGCAACAGCAGCATCTACATCAGCCTGAGCCCTTAAATCCTTCCTTTTTTCACTTGGCAAACAATCATTTTTCATTTTTTTCTTTGCGGCTGTGTTGGTCACCTTTCCTCATGCAATTGGGGAAGAATCTTCTGTCAACTTTAAAACTTGTGTATGTGGAAGAGTTTCTCTCTAAAGAAAATCAGCAGGAGCTTTCAGAGGTGTCCAGCCTGCAGGAGCAGGAGAGGACTAAGCAGGACGTGGCCAGCCAGCACTGCGTGCACCATCTGCAAGTACTCCATGGCCCACAAACCGCAGATTAAAACTTCTTGTGCAGAGCTCATCTTGGGAAACACTTACTCAAAAGAAAAATGTACTGGAGCCTTCATACTCTGTTAATTACCTAATGACTCCAGGAAACTGTGGTAATTGGGTCTTTAAGCCAGCACTAGTAACAGCAGAAAGTACAGACTGCTGATGCTTCCCAAGTGGTTGTCTTTGATTATGTATGGTGCAAAAATCTTATATCTGTGCATATATCTTGCATTCGTGCAAAAATTTTATATGCTTTGGGTCATGATGGACAATACCTAGATTTATTACTAGCTTAAAGAAAAAATGCAAATCAAATAACAGTACTATTTTAAAGTTTTAATGAAGAAGCTATGGGAGTTAACTTGACTCTCCTGGAAGCTGGGAGTTGCAGGCTGAGGACTGCATGATCAGGCACTGCTGTTACTGTATGACTGTATCACTCTGACCAAGCAATAATCATATCACTGCACTTAAATATAAAATGGGGATGATAGGCCTCTCCTCACATGTTCATACTTCATCTATAAATATTGAGAATTACTGGGTGTTGATAAACTGCACTGAGGTATCTGGACTGATGACTTGGTTTATTAGTGCCAGTCAGCGGCAGGTAATGCCTGTTGCATCTATCCACCATTATGTTTTTTTTGTTATTGCCATGCAAAGAAATGTGTAACATTCTAAAGGCAGAAACTCAACTTTGAGTATTTTCTCTTCTGCTAGTAATTTCAATAGCATGACAGAGTGTGCTATGCCTTTATCTTGTGAGCTGCAAGCTTTGCCTTTCAGGTTGACTGTTTTGCAGTTGGGCAACTTACTCGTGTTCTGCAAACCTTGGGAGAGCAGCTGGAGATCTTGAACAGCATTTGAACAGAAAAAAATACCCCAGATCTCCCTGATTGTAAATAAAGTGTGAGGCCTTAGACCGGTTACGCTCTTTTGATCTATGCAGGATGAGACTTTCGGATTATGTCTGGTAAAATCCTACCACAATTCCAGTAATCAGTCTGCATTTTTTTTTTTTTTTCATTTTTCTTCAGGTTATTGTGTAGCAGAAAACCATGGGCAATTTCAAAGGTCATGCCCTTCCTGGAAGCTTTTTCCTTCTTTTTGGCTTGTGGTGGTCAGTGAAGTATCCACTGAAGTATCTGTGTCGAAAAAACAAGAGCGCCTGCTACCTTGGTTCCAGGGCAGGATTTCAGCGCCTGGAATTTGTTGAGGGGATCATCAAAGCTGCCTTTGCCCTGATTGGTAAGTTAGACAAGTAAGTCTCGTGGAAAGTAATACACATGCCAAGTGATGTGCTTTTTCATACTTTTTTTTCCCTAGGTTTGTTCTCTGCTAAAATACATCCAGTTCTGATACTTTTTTAATTAGTGTTGCAAAATGCATAGTGTTACAAACACTTACAGTGACATTTCCCCATTTTTTCTGTCTTCAGTTCAAGAGAGGATGCTGTTCTGAAGCAATGCTTCAGATGGATACAAGCTGTTGGGCTCAATAAACAGAACTGGAGGGAGATCTGTGTGGACATGGAGGCCAAACTTAATTCCCCTTGACCTTTAAACACTTATCTAAGAACTACTGATGCTACCGTTATTAGTTATAGACTTAGGATTTGAACACAGTCTCCATGTATAGCATGGAGCTTATTTACAAACTTTTGGAGCCCCTTTATGCTTCCTTGCTGCCTTGCAGATGTTCCATTTGAACATTCCTGCCCCATGCGCTACTTGGGGGAGGGAGGGAGATGGGTTATTTGGCTGCGGGGCTCTCACATGCAAACTGTTAGCTCCAGACAGCAGGGACACTGTTGGGCTATTTTGAGTCTTAACAAACTCAGCCCACTGCCATGAATGGTTTTGGAGGGCCTCCTGGCTTTCAGATATGTGTAATCTCCATTGAATTATTGATCACCTACGTAAATGCAGATGCTTTTTCTTATTAACAGCACTCAAAAATGGAAATATTCTCAAGAAAACTCTGAACTTCAGATCTTATTGCTGCAGAATTGTTACAAAGAGGGTGATGATTTTGCACCCTGCTGAGGACTGGCTTGGATATAAACTCAAGGAGATGGTTTAGAGAGCTAGACAGTTGCTTGGAAATGCCTCCTTCCTCTTTCAAATCCCAGAGTGGTGTATATTAGCAAATTATGGAGTAAGCAAGAGAGGACTGTGGGAGATCAGCACACATGGACCTCAAGTTGAAACAGTTTTTAACATGAAGATAATATTTTCTCTCTCTACTCTTTTTCAAATGCTCACAATTCCCTGGTGTCTAMTCATGCTGCAGATCTTATCCCACTACCTTTTGCCAAAATCTTCCTACTTTTCCTTCCCCTGGGAGTTGTATCAATTAAGATATATCACAATTAAGTGCTATTTTGTATATAGTATATTGTTTGATCACCTTTAAAATTACCAAAGCCTGATTCATTCCACTTATTTTGAAGTGTGGGGGAAGTCATTTCACTTAGAAAATCTCTGAGTGAGTGTCTGGAGGTAGTTAGGCATCTAAAATTCAATTCCAGTGTTTTCGATTTCACTCTGAAGRAAAAAAACTATTATTTTAATATATGGTGATTTCAATTCCAGTTTAAAAATGCAGGTTGGAAAGCCTGATGAGAACAAACACTCAAAGCAGCAGCAGGAGTAAAAACTGTTGTTTTCTGTGTAAGGCAAACTTTTAAATAAAGGTGGAAAAACACTATTTTTTCTTCAGCATATCTACTTATGTAGGGGGACATTKGCACACCCTATGCTATACAATATAATTAACTTTTATATCTTAAAAACATAATGTATTTTAAGCACAAGCTTCCTGGATCAAATAGAGCACTAAAAGCAGCTTCCCCTTTTCTGGAGTACTGTATTTTGTTAGCAACACAACAAGGGGCCAAGGTAAGGGAAGCGGTAAAGCAGCAGTTCAAATATTAACTCTTTGCATATCCTCATGGGACCTTTAAGAAGTGTGCACAGTGAAGGAATTTCCTTTTACGGGTTTATAGGAAAGTTTCCCTTGGAATTAACAGTTTCAGTTACGCCAGCCTATATATTGCAGGGGACTGAATCAGTAAGTCTTTATTTTGGGGAATGTAGCTTGTGTTAAAGTCATGTTTAAACCACTGGAAAAGATGGCTGAAAAAATTTAGTCAGCAAACTGCCACAATAGCAGTTATTTAAGAAAAAAAAAAAAAGAAAAAGGAAAAAAGAAAAAAAATAAAGAAGGCATAAAATAGCTGTCTCCATTTTCACTGCTGGAAACTAAGATGCAAATAGTTCTGCCAGCAGTGGAACTGAAGCCTGGTTTCCTGTGGCTTTCTCCTTTCTGCATTATGTGGTATTGAATATATGCTCCATGGCTTTTCCCTCAGAACAGAAATTCACTTAATTTCTCTTGTAGCCACTGCCTATTTTCTTTCAAATTTATAGAAATTTAATATCTCTCAGGCCTCTGCTCCTTTTCAATTCACTTGAGTTTGTGCAACATATTTAAAACTTTATTGGGAATGGCAGAGGTGGGAAGAAGGGAGCAAACATGGTAGTCACCCAGAGCAGTCCTCAAGAAACCACACTCAAGTCCAGAATGACCAGCATTATTCTGCTTTGGGATACACTGTAGTCTCTAAACTTGTGTAAATGCTTGTGTAAATTGCTTGTGTAAATACTGATTGTCAGCTTACACCTCTAGCAGCAGGACAAGCAGTAATGGGTCCCGTTTCACCTGCAGGAATGGTGGCTGAGCAGTTTGTTCCTGATGGACCTCACCTGAAGTTGTACAATTACGAGGAGCAACACTGGGATCACTTGATGAACTGGCAGCACGCCACCATGTATCTCTTCTACGGCATTTCAGGGCTGGTTGACATCGTGGCTCACGGGACAAACACCTTGCCAGTGGCCGTGGACCGAATGGTGCTTTCCTTAGCAGTTTTTATTGAAGGTGAGTTCATCTCTCCATGCAAAGATGACCAGGAAACTCGCTGGGTTTATTTGTACCTAGAGGAATGAGTCTTGGCTGAGATTCTCAAAGCAGCCYTAGAGGCTGAATGCCTGTGTTTATGTCCAAGCTGAGCATTTAACTGCCCAAAATGCTTTTAAAAGTTAATCTAGGCCCTCCTTAAAATGTTAGGATTTGCCTGTGGTTCTGCCTAGGAACATGGTTATGCACTGCACGGATGTACCCATRCACAGGTTTACCTGTGCACAGGTGTACCTGTGCTTTCCTAACTAGCTCAGATAGCACCAGAAATGCAGTGAGCAGCAGCCCAAGTGCATTTTGAGTCAGTGCTCAGTGTCTGAGGCATTTACTGCAACTTATGTACTGATATGGTAGCCAAGATGTTATCTGAAAGCCACTGTGGGTACCTTTGTCTGCATGAGAATTGCATGTTGGAAGATGTGACATATTCCATTTACACTTCCTGTATGCACAGTATGTCTCAGAACCTCCCCCTTGTCACACTCCAGAGAGAGATGCATGAAACCTTGTGTAATTGTGTCTCTTAAATAAAGGATTGTACCTTCCCATATCATTTTCCTGTCTAAACCCAAGAGAGGAAATGTGGAGGTATGAGTCTTAAAAAAATGACACTTAATCTGATCATGTTATTTCAGGTTTTCTCTTCTGTTACCACCTTCATGGGAGAGCCATGCTGGATGTCCATGTTCATCAGTTATTGTTATTTGCTATCTTTGGAGGAGCTGTTTGCATTTTCCTGGAAGTTTTCTTCCGTGGCAGTATTGTACTAGAGATGCTCCGTACCAGCCTCTGCATATTGCAAGGTAGCTGGCTCTGGCAGGTGGGTCCCTTTGTTGCCTTAGTGGTCTCTTCCTTTACCACTATTAGTCATTTGTCTCTTTGCAGATGTTTCACAGGTGATACAGAATGCTTTCCAACACAGATCTTAAAGGCCTCACAGATAACAACTGACTCTTAATACCCCTTCAAAGAGATAAAAGCATTAATCATGTCCATCTTATAGCTGAGGTCATTTTACTTCTACTGTCTTTTATCTGAATCAGTATAAAAGCTAAGGTGGCTTGGTGGCTAAGYTCTCCATTGCTATATTCATTCAATATTCCCTTTGATCTCTGCACCGTTCTGTTCAAAACTTGCAAGCTAAAAGGCAGAGATTTAACAGTACCATATACATATATATACATATATACATATGTACATATATATATACATATATACATATATAGTATTCTTTACAGCAGTATTCTTTTTATATATATATATATATATATATATATATATATATATATATATATATAGTATTCTTTACAGCAGTGGCAATAGTGAGCAAATGCCAGCAGATTGCATGGAAATCGAGGCAGACAACTCATTGGCATTGCCACAAAGAGGAACCAAGGTGGAAGCTATCCTTAATGTGCTGAACTAGTGGTATGTTTCCACTTTCTAAAACCATATTTAAGAGGTATTCAAGCTCCTGAGCGCCACCAAGACACTRGGTGGTGCAAAGGTTCCTGGTTTTTCAGTGTTCTGGCATTTGAGCAGAAGAAATAACAGTCTAAACCTCAATATTTCTGAGATGTGCCTCATCTGAGATGAGAAAGAACTCATCAAAATGTAGCTGTCATGCCTTGGTTTATTCGTGATTCTATTTGATTAATGYGATGGATATTTGATAGCAATCCATTCATTACTGTTAGAACAAGACAGAGAATTTAATGAGTTGATGCTGTCTTGTAACAAAGAAATAGGAGTATTCATAACTATGTTTGATCTTCTAGTGGAGAACTGAGGTCACTCCAGTGATTTTTCTTTCCGGCATGTCTAGACGGGCTTCCCTTTTTCATATGCTGGCCAGACGTGATGAATAAAAACGTTTGCTGTTCCTTAGGAGAACTGGACACTCAGCCCCAAATCAAATATTTAAATACTTGCTCTGGCAAGATGACAGACCTCCTAAACTGCAGGGTTTCTTTTTTCTGTAAAGAACTTGGTGCTGCAGCACTTAGTGTTTTGTTTTCTTGTTTGCAAACTTTTCTGTGGTGACTCAAGAAGCTTTACAATAGAGGAATTAAATGCAGTCATTTATTCTCCATTGTCTGTCTAGTCTAATTTTAAAATGAGCAATTCCTTTACTTGACTCCAAAATAGTCAAGTTACTCCAGAAACAAGGTGGGTTTTATGTTTTGAAGTAAAAATTGAAGAGCTAAAAATAAAACAGACCTGAGTGTAGCTTTTTTCACATCTCCGTTAGACTTTGACTGTACATGGGACTGAAAACCACATACTGGCAAATTTGTAAAAGGTGAAGGGGCTTTTTTTCTGCGTCATCAATGCTCTCATTCATTGAATTCTCTGCATGTAAATGCAAAGTGCACTCCTCCCTTCCTTCTTCCTCTTCTCCTATGTCCAGCTCCAAAATTCTCAACAAAATTGCTTTGAAGAGTGTTAGCCTGATGCTTACCTAGTCAGAGCCCTGAACTGCTGTGCTGGTTCTTGGCTGCCTGGCTTGGACTGAAGCTCATAGCATGAGTTTCATCTTTCCCAGCTCTAGAAACCCATATCACYGTTGTGCTTCACAGCAGCAAATAGCCTTGAGCAGGCAAGCTACATTTTTATATAATTTCAAAAATGGATCTTTTCCCTGGATTGGACAGAAGAAATAGCTAGGGCTTGCCTTTTTTACTAACTTGTTTTTTGCCTTTTTTACTGATTTGCTGGTTTTACAGGCTACGTAACATATTCCCAGGCACTCCTGGGAAGAAGAGAGTCTTCATGAGCAGCTGGGCAGGTTTTCTTGCTGGTGACGTGTCTGCAGTTTAGAGTATGAGCCCCTCTCCTTATCAGTACAAGTGATACAGTTCTGATCACCGAAGGACTTGCTGGGTCAGTTTGATAATTTATTGAGCAAAAGCAGAAGGCCTCTGGAGTTGGCTCTGTATCTTCAAAGRCATTACTGCAGTACTGCATGAAAACTGTCCATCACATCTGAGTGTGACCCTTTCAAAACTTTYTTCAATAATATTTGCAGACATAAGCACATGCTGTGGTACCAGGTAAATGTCAGTTGATGGTTTCCTTTATTTTATTACAGATTGGCTTTGTTCTTTATCCTCCAAATGGGAGCCCAGAATGGAATCAAATGGATCATACTAACATGATGTTCCTGACAATGTGCTACTGCTGGCATTATGCTTTTGCTTTTCTTATCCTTGCAGTGAATTATGCAATCGTCAGCTGGTGAGTTACCTGAAACACTAAAACTTTGGAGACCTCTCTGTTTAATMGACCAGGGAGTTTCTTGCAGAAAGATTTTACTGACAAATCACAAGTGTTTCMCAAAAAGATTTACTGTCTTGCAAGACAAAATAAAAATAGACGTTGCTGGTTAGTGAACACAACATGGCTCACGGTTTCCATAGAACGAGGAAATAACATACATAAAGTACCTTTCTGACAACATAATGCTTTGCACATAAAATCAGCTCTTTTGATAGTCTCCCACATCTGTAATTGCCCAAAAAATGTTAGAAGTAGTAGAGCTTTTCTTTCTACAGCATATTTTCTTCCTGTGTTTGTCTATAMCAATTCCAAGGGACTTAGTCATCAGTTTTCCCCACTTAGCTTTGAACTTGGAGGCATCGTGGTTGCTACTTTCCCTTGATCATACCTTTGTTTTTTTTCACTAGTCAGTTTCATCTCTTTATTTCTAAAAATAAAAACATTTTCCATGTCACTTAGTGTTCATTCCGACAAAAAAAAAAAAAAAAAAAAAAAGTTGTAAAGTTGACTGCATTAGGAAAATGAACCTGATTCTAAAAAGGTAATCACTTTCTGGTGGAAGGATCTTAGCAAGCCCTTGTGCACAGTGCTAAACTTGATTCTCACCTTGATTCCTTACTCTCACCATTCTCATATCCTGCTTAATGAGGCTTTGGCCATGTTTAGTTCTTCATAAATGGAAGACTTTTCCTCGTGAATGAATCATTCTAACTACCTGATGAGATGCAGGAGTTAATCAGGTTATTACCAGGTCAGCTTGCCAGATTTGCCTTTAAGTCACCACCTGGTTTCTGATACATCTCTTTTTTGTTTGTTTTTCTTTTTCTCAGGGCAGTTCGTTCAAAGGTTAAACAGTCCCAATCCATGGAGCTGGGGTTACTGAAAACATCTGAACGGGATCAGGAGTCCGAAGATGAAATTTAGTATGAAGGGGACTTTACCACTTTGCCCACTCTGCTATTAGGCTAATTGTTACCTCATTTCTAGGCTTGTTTACCATCTTATTCATCCTTTATACAACTTGCTATGCAAATATCATCCTTGGGATGACTGTATAGAACTGCACAGTTAGATTTTTATTTGCAGAAGTTAAGCTGGGTGTGTGGTGATTCCAATACCTTGCTCACCATGTATGTCAATGGAAAAACAGATTAATATTAGACAGACTTGGACTGGATGAGGTGACGTTACCAAGTCTGTGAGTTAGACTCATTAACAGCCAAGCAAAATGGTTTTCTTCTGCTTTTTAAGGAACTGATAAATGAACTAATTAAGATGTCCAAGTAAGTGCTTTTGCTGAACTGCAATTTCCTGTGCACACCTTGAAARAAGTAGAACCACACAGAAAGTGATAGTCTTATAGGTGCCTCTTCCAACACATTCGTGTCTTTGCTTGTAGCTTTGTGTTAAATGGAAAGAGCTACTCACTGCAGATCCATTCAGCATTTCTGTGAAGATTATGTAGTTTGGTCATGCTCATATAGACACTTCCAAACTTCTACAGGAGGACCAAAGAGGTGTATAATAGTTAAAAATGACTGGAATTATTCATCTTGTGCCTAGATGTTCCTGCCTCTTCCCTACTATTTGGGTTTGAATGGCAATTGGTTCTGCTTCCTCCAGGCAAAATGAGGGACTTCTTCCCCAGAAGAGAAAGGCTGGTGTATGTCCAGGGGGTTCCAAACGGACAAACTGAAGACCTCATGCTGTGAAAAACAGGGTTCCCTCCTCCGTAGACCTCAGTGTCACTAGGATGTGCTCCAATATGAACAGCACAAAAAAAAAAAAAAAAAAAGAAAAAAAAAAAAAAAAAAAAAAAAAAAATCATGTTGTACATAAGCACACCGCCCCCATGAGGTGGACATGGGAAATAAAGCTCTAGCTCCAAATACATCTTTTGAAAGGCATGGATTAGCCTATGGGTAGGAATGTATTGGATAATTGTGGATAGGAGCGTTTATTGTTCAGCAGCACGTACGCTCTGTTATCCAGAGGCTGGAGCAGGCAGGGATGCTGATGGCAGTGGGCCGGGTTGTATGTCCATCAGTAGCGAGGTGGTTGGAAAAGTAGCTCMCCTCTTTCAGAGAAGCCCTTGTGAAATCCTTTTCTTCTAATTGCTTTTGGGAATACGCTGGTACAGGACAATAAATTCTGTACAAATGCTACCAGTTCATCAGTTTATTATGTGCTATTAATGCTTAAGTTTTAGAATGTCAGGTTTATTGCTGCCTTTCTAAAGTAAGAGGAGTTTATTCTGAAGTAGATCTTAGGAAAATACTTTGCTCTTTGTAAACAGAAACAATCCAAGTTTCTTCAATGCCTTTCTGAATATATATGTATAGTACTGTACAGGTAGTAAGATGCTTTATCTCTTAACTAAGGRGATAACTCAAACAGGAGAAAAACATGTTCAAGTAGCTGATTTTGAGGTCTTCTTAGAAGACTTCAATTGGTCATTTTTGAAAACACTTCGGATCTTTGCTATGTGTCGTGAGGTGACACTTGAAACTAGATGTGGGATTATCTTGATGAACCTAATTCTGAACGTGAGGATAGTCAACTCCCAGATATTTCTTTGTGTAGAAATGTGTAATGGGACTCAGCAGATGCAGAGCCAAGGAAAGATCACCATTGCTCTCAACAATTATTTGTTCTTCTTTAGTACCTTTCCCTGAAAGATCTTGGATAGTTTGGTAAATTTAAACAAAATCTGTCTCAGGGCAGTCCTGTGAGTTAGGTATCAGTCTGGGTATTTTTGCAACTCCGTGTTTCATCTTTGCAGTGCTCTTAGTGTAAGCTGTGAGATGAACGATACCTCCTTCACTTGGCAAATCTAAGACTTGAGTTTCACTGGTKCAGTTCCATTAAAATCAGATTTTCTGTTGGCATAAGTCAGAAGGAATGTCCACTGGTTTTCTGAGAAGCTAGCCTGTTAATAGTACTGGGGATATATTGGCCAAAATGTGGTGTGCTATTACACCTAAGTACATTCTTATGTTTGTGTATAACTCCTTGTTTTACATCACTATTTTCTATATGCTATTTTTAAAGGGCAGAGTTTTTTACCCATTAAAATACTTGATATGTAGAGTTTATGCTGTGCTGTGAAGTAGATAGTTATACATCTAGTAGAACTTGGGGATTATTACAAAAATGTGTCTTGATAAGCCAAAATCAGTTGGCAAAGTGAGCCACATGGATTAAATAACTTGAGTGAGCAGTGAGCTTGGAGGGTGTTTAGCAAATTCTCCTTTTGAAAAGTGCTCTTTTCAGAAACAGAAAGTGCCAGTACTAGAACTTGRAGGCCAGAAAAGAGGTTACCTGTCAGCGTTCCTCCTATGATCTTCTCAGCCTTGTGACTCTGACGCTTGCAATACTCCAGCAGTGGTTGTGGGTCTGTGCTTTGTTGTGAGAGAACTTGGTTAGGGTCCAGCTTGCTGAGAGGTATCCTCTGCATCTCCCTGTCTCCCCTCTTGGCAAATTGTCACAGAACTGGAAGAATAAACCTGTCAGGATCACGTCGCCGGCTACAGCTGTGGTGTATGGCAAAGAGGCCTACAAAGAATTTCAATGGCAAAGACTTATTTCTTAAAAGAAGCAACTCTTCAGGTGTTGGAGTATTCTGAGGCTTCAAGTAATATAGGTCAAAACAAATCCTGACGACTTACAGAAAGAGCAATTTCCTAGATTTTACTTTTAATGTTTACACTACATGTAGAGTATAAATTAAGGTGAGTTTCTCAGCTTACTCTATTTTTTTTTAGCATAAAAAAAGAGAAAAAAAAAGAGAAGCAATCCATTTAAGGAGTGGTCATTTGTTAGGTGGAACGGTTGACTCTTTCTTTTCAAGCACTGCTCGAAAGAGGGGTCTAGAGCACTAAAGTAGCTATTGTGGTTAAAAAGTTGTGATCTTTGTCATTCCGTTAGCAACAGATTTGGTTTGAATTTCAGGAGTGGATGGAAGTCTGACAAGTTTACAAATGCCACTCAGAAAAAGGTAGCTGCTCTCAAGAAAATTTAAATTATTGTTAAATATTGGTGCCTTTAAAAAATATATATGGTAGTTAATAATAGAAAAGATATGCCTGTAATTTTATTTAAATAAAAATGGTTTATTCATCTAAGATGTCTGTCATTTTTCAGGGGAAAAATGTAATCATTTACAGGGCAGGGTGAAGCAGGGTAGACATGTTACCCTTATGGCCAACCTGGAGAATTGAACTAGTTGGGACAGGGATTTAGGAAAGGCTAATTCTGTCTTGCCAAATTTCRTTTGTGCTGTCACTTACAATACAGACAAAAATAGCTGTCCTAGAGACTTGGACAGTAGATTTTCACAGAGTCACAAAAGTTAAATGCTAGGGGCAAAAGGCCAGTCAGATGTGGGTCTGCTTTCCTGTTCCATAGACCATGGGGCAGTCAGCAAGGCAGGTGAACAGAACTGTATGAACTGTGAATTCTTCTGTTCGAGCRAGCTTGATAATAAAGATATTTAGGATTTTTTAGACCGATTTAACGTTGCTTTCCTTTCCCTTTAAAGAGAAAAAGAAAAAAATTCTTCAGCTAGAAAAATGCATTCTGAAACTAAAGTACTTGGAAAAATGTTTATAATGGTGGGTTTTTCTTTCTGCAGATTTTGGACCACTTTTTAAAAATTAATACTAGGAGACTGTATTTGGTAAAAATTTACAAGCAATTTTGTCTTCTTTCAAACTATGGTTTGGTGGATAAATTTATTATTCATTGGAGATTATAGTCTCCTGTCTTTCTTTCATTATTCCATCAATTTGATACTATTCTGCTACATATTTTTCAGGTGTTGTTTTTTCAGTTATAGAGACCTTGGAGTGACTTGTACCTCCATGTACATAAGAAAACTTTCAAATTTCTCCAGGACTGAGTAAGAAGGAGAATGTCAGCATTTACTACTTTCCTATATCATCTTTATGTTCACAAAATCTGAAAGAATTGCAGAGGACTTAAAATATTCAGTGAGAAATCCTAAAGAGCTAAAAATAGCTTTAAATAAATCAATTGGGGAATCAACTCGTTTCCATTAGAAAACCAAAAGGATTCAGGTTTTCCTGGGATCCCCTGGGACTGGGGCTAGGGCCACTTAGCCCCGAACATGTGGCCAGGGTGGCCCTTTTCCCTCATGTTTCATGGCAAGGATCAACCAGTGACAGGTGACATGCACAGCACTTGGGTTTGGAGGTAATCATAAAAAAGTCAGGAAAAGGCAGAAAACAGTAGCTTTTATTAATCCCCTGAAGTTCTTTGGCCTGTGTACTAGTGGAAAGTAGCCTGATCCAAGGTCTCCCAAGGACTGTGCACCAGCAGCACATCTGCTTAGCAGGCAAAGGAGAGGACTGGAAAACTGCTGGGCGTTTGCCTTTTAAATCTATTCTGGGTCAAATATGTACTTGCTCAAACTACGTGTTAGGAAAGAAGCCTAATATTTGCACAATAAGGCATAACCAATCTCTGGCTTTCTTTTTTTTTTCAGAGCAGTAATTTTTGACAACTTCAATAAATTGTTATTGTTACATTCGTACATCTCTAAGATAGTGAGTATACTACTTAGAATGAAAATGCATTTAAAAACTATTTGGAAAACTTAGTGCTACTGCATACTTTGGAGTGTGATTCAGAAAAAGAGCTGTTGCATTAAGGGCTACTTTTTCACCTCAAAATGATCTGCAAGGGATAGTGGTACCAAAGAGGTCAAGTCTCTCAAAGTCACAATGAGGCATGTAATTGGAGCAGGAATGGTTATGGAAGAAGCTGCTTCTCTAAATACAATCTACACAACAGAACAGCAATAGCAACTAGAAGAACTAGAAATCACTCCTAGGACTACAGGATTGAAGAGAAGACAAGCTGTCTTTACTGTCTAAAAAGTTCCAGCCTAGCTATAGTACTATTTGACAGACACAAGGCTGACAAATATACTCTTTGGGATTTTTCTGGCCCCTTGTGGCAGTTCCATAACAAATATACTCTTTGGGATTTTTCTGGCCCCTTGTGGCAGTTCCATAAACCATCATGCAGATTCCATGCTCCAGAAATGAATGACAGTAAAATTCCAGCAAGACTTGCCTCGCTTTTCTGGGATTTTACTTGTTAGTAACTCCAACTCAGGCAGATGCAGTTGACAGATGAAGTAATCTCAGGGATGGTGTTTACTGCTGGCAGTGCATCTTATTCAGGCTTGAAAACAAAACAGAAAGGAAATAAGAAACATCTGRCTCCAATTATGGCTCAGGAGAAATGGAAGAAAGCAGAAGAAATATATTTAGTCACTCAAGAGTCATTTTGCTTCCCCACAGCTGCACTGCACTTACGGCTTTACAAGTAATGAGGTTTGCTTTCAGCTTGATAACTTTATTGTGTAAATAGAGTTTAATAGTTTCATAAATACAAATGTACTGTTCTTGCTGTATACTAATTGACTTGTTTGGGTTTACCCACATGTCTCCTTATTGCTTCTTTAAGGCTTGTTCAATATATTCATGTGA